TTGTTTCAGGTGAAGTGGGGTAATTTTACCTAATGTTGGTTTGTGCATCTTTCAATTTTCAATCCACAATTTTTTTCAATACAATTGGAGTTACATGGTAATCTGTCTTCATTATTTGTTGGTTTTGTTTTGTTTTCTTTTTTGTTTTGTTTATTACTGTATTTACTGTATTTATTAAAGTCCTGAATTTTTTTTGTTATGTATAATAAAAAATATTTGTCAAAAAAAAAAATAATGTATTTTACATCCGTTGTTTACGTCACATGGAACCCAGACCGTAAAAACCCGCATGAAATATATATGTAAACACTGTGGACAGTTCGTTGTGACACGGGAATTGTTCTCATTCGGAAAAAAACGACGTTTTGGTTGTATGGGGCTGGAATGTATCTTTCTTAGATTTATTGTATGTCCATCATTTGCAGGTGTCGTCGGAGTACTCTGGTCGATATCATGGTTTTTCATTATTCACGAGACGCCGGCTACTCACCCTACTATAACGGAAGCAGAACGAATCCATATAGAGGAGAGCATAGGAGAATCCGCATTTTTATATAAGGTAGGTACATTACAAACAACTTCCACCGCTGTCGCGTGCTTCTACATTTGATGCATTACCCCCCTCAACGGCATACAATTGAACTTCATGCCAAGCTGGCAACTTGGTGAGAGGTTTGCCGTTTAAGATAGAATATTATCTTAGGATACAAAAAAGGTAGACATATTGCTGTGACACTTGCTACACTAGACATGTTACATGGATTCTTTGAGAAAACATAATACTGTTTTGAGAAAATGTGGATCTAAGGTCAAACACCGGGGTCAAACATCGCAGTAACAGACATTGTTTGTTATAGCGTAAATACAGTACTTTAGTAATGTAAAGTATTTTTACTTATTAATCTTATATACAAAAAATCGGTGAAAATAAACTTCATACATCACAACCAACATTCCTTTTCCAGCGAAAATAATTTCCAGCTAAAATAAAGTATTTTACAGTAATATACGTCTGTGTTTAACTTATAAACATGAAGAATCGGTTAATGTAATTGATTAATAAGAAAATACACACCTCGTGTGTACCATAGACAGCCATTATAGCTCCTTTATGATCTTGAGTTTAAAATGATTTAAACAATTTCATGAGGAGAAAAATTGACATTTTCCACTAAATGAAGGTGTGAATGACATGTGGTGATAAATGTATTAATTTATTAATAATTGTTACATTGTATGTGTTGATGATCGGTGTTGTAATCAGTGTTATGACGTAATCGCGCAGTAAGATGACGTCATCGTATTGTTCTATCGTAAGAAAATACAATGATCGAGTGTGCGTTGTCATAGATTTCAAATTAGAAAACAAATAAGTATATGGTTATATATTGTTTTTCTTATAGGGTCAAAAGACTCCTTGGAAAAGTTTTTTTACGTCACTTCCCGTGTATGCTATCATTGTGGCTAATATTTGCCGAAGTTGGACGTTCTATTTACTTCTTACGAGTTCACCGTCTTATTTTGAAGAAGTGTACGGCTATGATTTATCTGCAGTAAGTAAAATGTCTCAACAGGACCCAATCAATCAAACTAAGTGTGTAATGACCCGTGGGACGGTTTTGAATGAAGAAATTCAAATGCACTTATGCGTGCAAAATCAATATAGCAGAATGTATGGAAAAAACCGACATCCCGAAATTTGTTCAAATATTGACGATTAATGTGTGTTAAAATTGTGTAGCAATACAAAGCATGTCTGTTCGTCGTGGTGATGATGATAATGATCTGTTTGTCGACGAGACAATGTAATGCCATCTGTCGCGAAATTCTGGATATACGAGGGCGCTGTTTTAGCGCAACACGTTTCAAAACTACCTGGAAAGATTGCACGACATGTTTACACAATGTCCGCCAGGATGTCTTTAATAACTCTACTGTATCATTATCATTATTAAGTACTAATAATTAATAAATAATAAGGTTAATGGTGTTTAGAGGTAAAGTAGTGCACCCTCAATTAATAAAGATTAATTGTGATTAATTAATCAGTACCCCAAATAACCCTAGTAAGGAACGTTATCATATAGATCAAGATTGTTATCATAAAAATCATGTTTTCTACGTTAAATTATGTAAATTAATTATTTTTACTAATTATTATTCTTGCAATTTTCAAATATGGATGATGGAATATTTTTATATTATATATATATATTTAGGTTGGTGTAATATCTGCGTTACCACATCTAATTATGACCATCATTGTGCCTCTTGGAGGGCAGCTGGCCGATTACCTCAGAGGAAGGCAAATATTGACAACGACAATAGTCAGAAAAATTTTCAATTGTGGAGGTATGTGTAAATATTAAAACGTCTGGGCGTAGATGGCGCTATAATTGTTATTGTCTCATTCCTGTCACACGCGTTTTGGAGGTCACTGTCAACTTTTCGTGTTTAACAACTATATGCTTATATATATATATATATATTACTTGGTATTATAATTTGTTGTTATTTCCATCACTGTACCTCCACCGCAATGTTTGATTGCGCATGCTGTGTGTTGTCGCTGTCACGGCCGCGATGTGCGTTGGGGCCACGCGCCTAGTATCTAAATTTCCGTGAATACGACGTTTGTTTCATAACTATAATCTGCACGTGTATTTATTTTGCTAGGATTTGGAATGGAAGCCGTATTTTTAATAATTGTTGGTTATTCTACTGGTAAAGAAATGGCTATAATTTGTTTAATTATTGCTGTTGGATTTAGCGGATTTGCAATATCAGGTGAGCAATGGTTTCTCATCTGGATTTATACATACATGTATATGTATGTATTGCGTTCACCCTGTATTTAGGCTTGGCTTGTTAAAATGGTTGCTGGTGAAACCTGGACCAAGCTTTTACGTTTTACTCTTATTTTCTTTGCAGGATTTAATGTAAACCATTTAGATATCGCCCCTCGGTACGCCAGTATATTGATGGGTTTATCGAACGCGGCTGGCACGCTGTCTGGCATGCTATGCCCAATCATGGTAGGACATTTAACACCAGAAGAGGTAGGTATATTTTTAACGTTTCTCACATGTTTCTTACACTTTGAACGTGGGTGCATAAAAGGAAATATGGCGACCGGATTTCAGGACGTAAATCGTACTGAGTGATGATAAATCTGCTTTGAGTGCTCCACAAAATTACTCTTCCCAAAATCAGATTACGTAGAGAAAGCGGCGGTATTTTTTTTATAATATACAAACAAGAATATTTGTAGAATTTATTTATATAGACATATGTACTATGATAAAATGTTTCTATATACTAGTAGTGTTTAAAAGTGTGTTTGTAGAAAGCTTATCTTGCACAATTTCACTTCCTCATCCACAGACACCAAAAGAATGGTCCCGAGTTTATTTAATATCAGCCATGATTCATTTTGTCGGAGTATTGTTTTATGGAATCTTTGCATCGGGTGAGAAGCAGAAGTGGGCAGACCCGCAGTTGTTACCCGATTCTACGGACCCAAATTTAAGGCCAGGTTACGGCGCCATTGACAAAGACACCGTGCAATCACCAGGGGACGATGTGCCAAGTGACGCTTACCCATCTAAAAAAGAAGAATTTATACAACTGCCACAAGATGGGTCGAATCTTCGTAAAAACGTTGAAAATGGGGGTTTTTAGTTGATTTAATTTTCACATTATGTCGCAGGGGGCGCTCTAACGGTTGAAATACTAACCACGTTATTTGTAAATTAAAACTTGTAGTTTCAGTATGATAATGTAAATGGTGGATGTCCCTAATGCTTTCGACATATAGCTGAAACGGTTCGATGGTTTTGGCCATGGCAACAGTGTAATAGGGACCAAGGCCCACCCGCTATCAAACGCCATAGATTCAAGTTGACTCAGAATACGAGCATTCTTTTCCAAAGTACAGTCTATTTTGAAAATCTACTAAGTAGTGTATCTGAACAAATAATATAATAATATTCAACTGAAATTCTCGCCATGGCGTCCATTCAAATACGTCCGTGCTATATGGAGCTACTATTTGAAATCCAACCAGCTAACCCTGCCTACTAAAAGCCAGTATTACGAATGGTGTTTTATTTTGATAATTTGTTTCCGTCTTCGACAGGAGAGAATTTCAGTCGAGAAACTGTAGTACTACCTTAGAGTTTTAACATTCCAGAGTCTAGATATCTATTTTGAACGAAAAATCCCGTAAAATAATATTAAAACTAGCTGAAATATGAAAACAGATATCATAATATATAAATAATATTACCAGCTTGGTGGAAGATATTTTTGTGAATTTGAATTCAATTATTAGTAAATATTAACGTAGTTCTGATGTGTTAATCTATCGCGACATGTAGTTGAATCAGCTGTTATTGAAAGTGGTTCGTTTTTATCAAGCTCGCGGTATTATACTGTATTCTTACAATAATGGCATACAGTAAAATGAGACTGACAAGCAATATGATATGTGTCTCTGTAAATACTGGGCTGTGAATTCCAGTATATACAGCACAATAAAAATAATGCACATTGCATTTGTGATTGCCGCCTCATTTTTCGAGGAAGGGTAAACACGCGATGACGTGCTACCTAAATGTCCGTGAAACATATTTTGTGAATTTGATTTTTTCGACAGAATTTGGCAGAAATTTTATGAAAAGATGAGTTTTAATTCAAAAAAAAAGCAAAAAAAAAAAACGTTAGCCAAGAAATCCCAACAATAGGTTTGATTCTGGTGGTATACCTCTATTCACCCACACCCTATTCCACGACACATTGCCCGAGCATTGCGTCGTTATATTACTTCTTATATGAGCTTCATTATTATTTGGAGTATATCGTATGGGTATAAGCATCACTGACAATAAACAGTTGTTTGTTATTACTATAATAATATTATTATTTACATTAATGTGTTTGTGGTGTTCGTCATTTGTCTTATTCACGTTTTGTTTTGTAATCATTTTTACATATTTAGATAGGGCTGTATATAACATAACATGCATGTCTTCAAGTCATACTCTCGCGTGAATTGATATGTTCTCGTGCTAACTGACAGACAAGCTCTGTTTTAGTTATTTTCATTTCTGGCATGAAATGACAAGCTCACAAATGTTGTTTCACCACATGAAGGTAGTCCTTTCACAGTAACATATCGGCTAGACACTATACTTTTCTGTAGAAAATGGTTTAAGTTCATTAGCTTTAGAATTATATTTAAATGCAAGTATATTTGTCATGACATTGATGTAGATATTTAAATTTAGACATGAGCATGCGGGCGCTTCGTTATACATTATGCGCATGCGCATATTACAAAATTAATGGTCTACATCTCAGCCACCTACGTGATTCGATGCAATAATATTATGATGTGTAGTTATATAATATGTATATATCAGATATATATGCAGAATATGTACACCACATGGGCTTATTATACTTTGTGGGAGAGGTTACCGGGCGGCAGTTGTCGCACAGCGCGTGTTCGATATGGGACTCACAGCGACGTATACAACGCGTGTAAAATACATTGTTTATTTACATGAAATTCGAATACGCGCTGTGCGACGACCACCGCGCTTTAAAGAGTTACAGTCGTCGCACAGCGCGTGTTGGAATTTCGTGTAAACAGACAATGAAATTTACACGCGTTGTATACTTCGCTATGTGTTATCTAACAGGACGCGGCGCGACGTACGACTGTAGCGCTTTAAATGTATATACTGCTAACCGTCCATGATGGATGGCTATCAGGCTCATGGGCCACCCTCAGTCACAGCTGGAGACAGCACGTGCGTTAACGATGATTGAAAATGAATCTAATCACGTGAAGAATATCTACAGCTCTTTGAAATCAGACAACTGACTTTTCTCATATGCCGTGCATATACAATAAACATGAAAATTCAAAACGCATTTACATGAGTGCTATAATATACATAGACTATTCCAGAATTACTCGTGACCAAATTCTGTTTCATAATTTCGTCGGACATTCGCCAAAAATATGGTCGTTACCTTTTGCAGTTCTGTTATTAAAATACTAATACTCAACCTGCCGTCTGCGGATTAAAAACCAGTTGTAATCAGATCATTGCATACATGCTGTCTGCAACCAGTAGCACTCGTGTTACGTCACGTGCTTATCCAGCTGAGTCGAGACCCCCTAGGTCGTCGGGGATAATCATCGATAACATAGGGTTCACTCATAGACCCTCCAGTAGAGGAGGAGGGTCTATGGTTCACTGTAGTATAGGGGTTGGTAGGCACTGGTGTGTAGCTTTAAAATGTGTTATTAATTGTACAGTGACATTTATTTGTATTCCTATCACCTTGCATTGCCGAAATGTGTATATAAATGTAACTCGTCTTGGGTGTAGCGAATCACACATAATTGTAAATACCTTGAGATTCACTATAATAATTGTACAGTATAGTAATTATAATAATGCAGGGGCACTGAGCTCTTTAATTGTACATTTATTTATTCATGTTTAATTTACTCCCCCCCCCCTTCATACCATGTCAAGTATGGAAACCATTGTTCCATGCATGTACAGGTACGTGTATTACTGTTGCGATAGGCAGTCCGGGATGAATGTTACAAATACGAGCTTTAGATTATTTAACGCCACGACCCAGACTAAGCACGACGGTCTGTGGATTATTAAGTAATATAAATCAAATCTATGCAAAAATAAACGCATATAGAGCAACGTATAGCCGCTTACGTAATCTACCAAGGCTTAGCGCAAATAGCGCGATGGCGGTACCCGTCATATGCGATCTTTCGGAAAGTGTGTAGCGTCCTCAGGCTTGGTTCGATAATTCGCATTATATGTCCCCACGTGACACGATAACACGATTATTGTACTGTATCCAACGCACAGAATTGTCGACAGAATTGTTAGTATTTTATTTATTTTCAAAGTAAGTTGTTTGTGGATTTTAAGATGTGTCTGTCATGATAAATATACATTTTATGGAATATGCAACATAGCATTAATGCAACAAATATAACGATCCACTCTGACTCAAAATAATCCGCCATAATAAGGCAAAACGAGCAGTAAGTTGTTTTCTATGAACTGTCATGCCAAACGTTTCCAGGCTGCGTTTAAAGCGTTGTTTAAAGCGGGGGAGTCGTCACCTGCGCATGCGTCAGGTGGCCATAGCATGTCGTTGTTTACAAACAAGCGTCTACCCATGAGCCTTTGCGTTTTTAGCGTGTGTTGTTATCATCGCTTGGGACTCAATTCCCGCGCGTGCACAGGTGACGACCCTCCCGCTATAAGTGATTTTTGTTTGTTAATACGCCTCTAAATTATAGGAAATAACTTGAACCTGTAGTGTAATTACGTTTTTTGTCGGTAGAAATCATCCAAATCGTGGAATACGACACTGTTATCGCTAATATATCCTCATTTGAATATTGAAACATTCTCTAGGTGTAAAATGTTTGAGTTTGAACTTTAAAACAGTGTTGAATTTCTGTTTGTTTATTTTTCGTATATTATATGAAATTGTAGCAATTCAGTATTTTGTTTTTATCTGAGCTTTTAATAACTGTAAGCCGTATGCTACAGATCTGGATCTCCGATAATTTAATAGCAATAAAACTGCTTGCTTTTGTCCCCGTCAATTGTTTTACTCATTTATTTGTAGCCATTCTGTTTGTGTGCATGAACTTTAATGATATCAAATGTTCGAAACATTAAATGTGCCCAAACTGTCCCTTGATCAAAAACAATCAATGATTTCCTAATCAAGTGTTCTCAAATCCACTAATTGAATAGTGTGCCCATCATTATTTGGTGTTCCCTGGATAGGCAGAGTGTCAGCATGTGTTTCTTGCGTAAACCAGTATTTATATGTGCCAGGAATTGTATAATTCAGTTTTCACAAGTCAGTAAGTGTTATCTAAAAAAAGTAAGATTCCTAGGAGATTAAGTAAATATTCATTAGACATATATTAAGTTCTCCCTCATAGAGTTAGTGTTCCCTGGTTAGCCAGTGTTCATGTCGAATCGTTTATTATTCATTGGGAAGCTTTGTGGGTTGTGTGAGTGTTTCCTGGATAAGTAAGTTTCTGGTTTCAGTAAGTGTTTATATTTCCGTGTTTCCTCTTATAGACCTTTCGGTCATTTTCGTGGTGGTAGTCGACAAAACACTCATCTTCAAACTCTTCATTTCTTATATTTTTTTAATATGGAATTATCAGTTGTTTACAAAATGAACTACTAGAAGTACTGTATTATTTATTGTTTTTTTGCTTGTGAAATGTACATCACACGTCACTCGGTAGGTCGGACATGACAAGTTCTCTTGCTCGATAACGTTCTCAGACGCCCTCAATTGATGTTCATTTAGCTTCTCTTGTTTACACTTGTCACTGTGACACCATCATACCATTTCCCACCAAACTAACACACATCACCATGAACAGTAGCAACATAGAAATATTATGTCTATGAATAATTCACTTCACAACAGAAAATGCAAAAAATAATCAAAACAGCACAATTTGACCAAAAATTAACAACATTTTTAAAATCACTACATAACTGCGTATTACTACCGCTGCTTTTGGGGCCACTCGGGGATAATATCTTCTTTGTTGTTGGGATCACTCAGGAACAATATTATCTCTCTTGTTG